CGGACGCGCGGCCTCCACCTGCCGGGCGCGCTCCGGGCCGGTCCGCGGGGCGCGCTTCGGGCCAGCGCGGCGCTGCTTCTTCCGAGGCGGAGGAAACGGAAATCTAAAGAAGGGAAGCAGCGGGCTCCGGGTCAAGCAGCGCCGGAGGCGGCCTTCGGGGGCTGCCTTTGGGGTTCCAAGTTGCCGCAACCCGGGGGCCCGAAGCATTGAAACAAAAGGGTGCTCCCCGGTCGGCCGAGCGCCCGTGCCCCGCGGGACCCCGGTGTAGGCACACGGAAAGCGGGTGCTTTTCTCGGTTTTGCTTTTGTTTTATTTTTTTAGCACTCTAAACCTTGTGAACCCTCCGGGTTCAAACCCAATGAAGACCAACGTTCCAAAGTTGAAAGGAGTCCTCTTTCCGAGAAGTGGATTTTGGTATTACATTAATGATTTTTGTTTCTAAAATTAAATTAAATTTGCATTTTAGATTTTTAATCATAGACTCTTGTTAATCTTTTTAATAGAATTGCGATGTACGGATAGGTATAATTATTTGTTTTACAAACTATGAACACTCCAACCCGAGTGCCAGGCTGAGGCAGGAGAATTACAAATTCAAACCCTGCCCGGGGAATTTAGAAAAAATAAATAAATAAATAAAATATTAAAGGGTTTGATGTAGCTCAATGAAAAGGTCGTGGTGTCAGTCCTCAGTACAGCAGGACTGAGGAGAGGAATCCAAAAAAATAAGTCAGGGGTATTTTTTTCCCCTGCCATTTGTGTTGAAAATAAAAAGGCCTGTGATACATGTTTACAGCCTTTAAGTTTGCTTGATATTGGTTGCCCGGTGTGTTAGTATATGTAGGCCTGATCCCATCGCTCAGGAGGATGAGGATAAGTCAGAAGGATGGCTGGAGGGTAAATTACACAGTTCAAGGCCAACCTGAAGGACATAGCCTGAAGGACATAGCCCAATGCTGTCTCAAAAAACAAAAATAAATATGAAAACATACAAAATCTATTAACTACTTTGCTCCAGTTGAGTATGCAAATACCACAAATTGAAAGTACATCTTAAATCCCCTTAGTCAAATACAATACTGCTACTAAAGTTTTCATAAATAGAACAACTACACACTATTTCAAATATTTCCAGCTGGGTGTGGTGGCACACACCTATGATCCCAGCACTTGGGCAGCTGAGGAAGGAGTATCATTTCAAGTTCAAGGCCAGCCTGGGATGCCTAGCGAACTCAACAACAACCTGAACTTCATAGCAAGACCCGGTATAACAAATATATATAATATATAATATATATTTATATATTATATATACATATATATCCTATAATCACAGCCCTCCAGAGGCTGATGCAGGAGAATACCTGCCAGTAGGCCAACCTGGGTGGCATAGTGTGTTCAAGACCAAAACCACACTATATATGTATTTCCAAATATTCTTGATTTCAGCATTTCGACTTTTCAGGCTTAGTGATTTGTGAGCTAGTTCCCACTGTGTGAGGTTTCACTATCCCATTTGATTGCAGCACATCCAGTGATAGCCAACTTAAGTTCACCAAGGTGGTTGTAGACCTCCATCTGCATTGTAACCACTTACATGTATAGAGAAAATTCACATTGCTGCAGGAATTCATTTTATAAACACAAGGTACTTATAAAATACATGGTGCTTAGAACAGAATGTTTTACAAATATTAACTAACCCTCAAACAATGTTGATAAAGGATGATGTAAAAGCTCCAAATAATCTGAAGAACACAAGGGAAATAATAACCCAACCTGCTAGATGTCCCATATATTGAGTTTGTCTTCCAGAAGAAATAGAAGAATCAATTCTGTTTTTTGTTTTGATTTTTTTTTTTTTTTCTTGTGGCGGAACTGGGGATTGAACTCAGGCCCTTCCACTTGCCAGGTAAGCGCTATTCTACTGAGCTATATCCCCC